ATACCTACTCTACCCTTCCCCTTATTTGAAAAAGAGAAAGAAAAGAAACATACATACATATAAGTATACGTGGTAAATATGGAAATGCAACCCCACACCATTTTTTGGATGAATATAATAATTTTCCAATAGCTTTCGTCGTGTTTCGAACGAATCTAGCACTCATTTCCTTCGCAAACGAAACATAACTACGGTATCGGTCTCGATGGCTGGGGAGGGTATGATAGGCCTATACATCTGGGAATTTCGAGAAATATCGATAGTTTATCAACACATTTCCGGGTTGCATTGGAGCCTCCCCCCCCCCCCGCCTGGTCTGCAAAATCTTCACCTCGTATGTTCCGGCAGGAGAGAGCCCAGATCCAGGGACAGTTTTAACCTCATCTTACCTTCAGACGGGCCAGGCTGCGGGTCACTGGGATCGGGGTATTCCAGGTCGTTGTTGGCGGGAATTGTGTTCGCTTACAGTAAAGTTCCACTGCTTTCTTCGTTTTGTCTTTAGAATTTCTTTTCCAAGCACCACAAACTCACTGGTGTCTTGCCATTTCTGTATTGACACGATGTTTTACAGTGCGGGCATTGTACTTCCACTGGTAGTACAACGTGATCTCGTAGATTTAGTAAGCTTGCTTCGTTATTTTGTTGACATTTCGCAGTTAAATCCAAATAATTTTTCTCACAACCTACACGCTATCTAGCCAGGATGGAACTGATTTGAATTTCAACTGCCTTCTCTTTGGCCCAGATTCTATTGTCACGTGATGATCTATTCCGTATCTGATTGGTTCTATTGAGTGTCTCTGTTAACGTTACGTTCACGCACGAATCTAATTGGCTCATTTGATTTCCCTCTATAGCTCTGTTATTATCAATTTGCACAGAAAATGTTATAGAAGAAAACTATCATAGAATGTGTTCTGCCACATGGTAAGCTCAGATTCTTTAAATTAGGTGTAGGGTTACATTTCTAATAATACTGTATACGTGTATATATATATATATATATATATATATATATATATATATATATATATATATATATATATATATATGATATGATATTAATGATGATAATAAGAACAATAGAATAATCATAATTATTATTATAATAACAGAAGCAATAATGATGATGATAATAATAATAGTAGTAGTAATATATGAGTAGTAATAATAATGATAATAGTAATGATAATAATAATAATAATAATAATAATAATAATAATAATAATAATAATAATAACAATAGTAATAGTAGTAATAATAATGATAATAGAAACTATGATAATGATAATAATAATAATAATAATAGTAATAATGTTAATTACTATAAAAATAATGATGATGCCGACAGTAATGTTGATAATACTAGTAATGATTATGATAATGATACTAATAACGACCATGATAAAGATAATAATAACGACCATGATAATGATAAAATAATAATGATAATAATGATAATATCAATAATGATTATAATAACAATATTAATGATAGTAATGATAATGATTATAACAAAAATTAATAATTATCATAATAGTAACAATATCTTTAACAGAATTACAACACATAATGATAACAGCAATAACGACAGTAATGATAGCAGTGATTAAAACAATTGCTCATTATGATACTGACGAAGATGATAATGATAACGATAATGACAATTATGATTGTGAAGGTAGCGACGACCATAACAACAACTCTTTCTGCAGTTCTCCTCAATGCCATTGTTATCATCACTCTTACCACAACAACAATACAATTATTTGATGATAACAACAGTAATTCTGTTAATGATAACAAACCAACAACAATACGGATAGTAAAGTAGCTTATGTA